CGTTAGTGTGAGTGTTAATCTGTCCGTGCGCGCTACCGAATATGAACTGAAGATGCGCGCGTTAAGATGTGTGTATGTGTGTGCGCGTAAATGAGGGAAAAGTGTGGGGGGGACTCTCTAAGTAAATAAACCAGAGTCCTGGGAAAATATTAACAAATAAGACACAGGGGGAGAAACATACATCTAAATCAAATCAATAAGTTCAAAGTTCTAATGGAAGTATAAATAATAGATGTTGCCAAATTAAAAAAAAGAAATCATACAAAAGAGAAAAAACACGAAGTACATTTCGAAACTAAATTTTAAAATGACTACCACAGAAAGTACAAATAAGGACAAAAATATTTAACCAATTCCCTCGGCGTTGAATAAAATTACTTGGTTTTTTAATTATCCCAAAACCCAGCCTTGCATAAGGATAAATTTAATAACCCCTGACGACCCTTTAAAGTGCACCTTCTTCCCCCCCCCCCACCCTCCCATCAGTGTCAAAGGAACAATAAAGGCAATCATAATAATAATAAATATAAATTTTTTGCTTGATTCATCTTTCAAGATTGCATTTCTGTCTGATAGTTTTGAAGGTTTGTCATGTATGTTTCTTGTCTTACACTGTCTATTATAAAAAACTGTCCTTTCGTCCGAGACTCGAACCTGTTTGAAATAGAAAAAATTTTTACTGTCGGCGTTTTTGAGCAATTTTTTCTGGCAATTCAAGGAAAACATGCCAAAGTTTCCTAGGCACTTTTCAAGCATTAATTAGGTCTGTACCTATCTATCTATCTACAGGTTTGATATAAAGTATAATGTGGGAAGATGTGCCTGTATTTAAGGAGAAACTGCTTGAAATAAAAGCCTAGAATAATGCGCTCTCAAATTAAGCATGAGAGAGATATGGAAGAGAAATCTTTTTCTGAGAATGAATTAAAATAAATCTAAAAATCTGAAATCTTAGATATCTTTCTTTTGAATTTGTGTAGAAAAAAATGGTTTCGAATCTAAGTTTAAATAAACGAATTTCAGCTAAATTTTTATATTTGTTTAAATTAATTTCGGCGAAGTTTTTTTTAACCTTGAATTAATTAAATATAAATATTATTTTCACTTTTGTGAAATTGTATAAAATTTGATATAATTAGTCTGAATTAACCAATCTCAATTTGAAACTAAATTATCTGAAGGACATTTTTATATCTCAGGCGTTGCTTCATCTTGCAACAACAAAAATAATTTCAATCAACCAACCGAACAAAACAAACAAACAAACCGTTATATTCCCACATATAAAATAAAATCAACAATGGATCCTTACATTTTCCTTTGTGTTGTATATTCTACTTCTTTATTACTCTTTATTATCTTTAAATATCGATTTCTAATTCTACATTTTCTAAGTCAAATTCTTTTTCAGATCTCTTAAAGAGTTTTTGTCACAAACTTGAATTTTATAATCCCTAAATCTTTGCAACCTAATGTTTCAAACTTAAATTATTTTATCTAACAGATTTTATAGTTTGAAATATCAAAAGTCTTTGAAATTAGGTTGCAGAGATATAGTGATTATTTTTTTATTTAATGCCTTAGCTTTATTCCAAATTTCCTCCCACTTTTCTCAAGTTACCATACCGTTTTTTAAAAGTTAAATTTACAAGTTCATTAGATTAGAGCGTGGGAAAAAAAGTTTAAGTAACAGTGTCAGGACTCAAAGAGTCATTTTTTCCTTCCAAATGCCTCGAATTCATAACACAAATACCCCTCACAAATGGCTTATTTGTTACTTTTTTCTCCATTTTGCTATAACTGATTCTGTTTCGTAGTGATATGATTTTTATCCCATTCTATAAAAAAAATTGGGGTTCTAAGAAAATTTGTAAAAGTTTTTTTGCAAACTCAGCTCCAAGTTAGTAGGGCAACCTGTGATCCAGCCAATATATATTTTATTATCTAGTTCAGATCAAATATCATCAGATATATCTATAATATAGGTTAAAGCAAGATCGTATTGCAAGGAAACTTATTTCAGAAGTGTACGCATCTTTTGTACTGCATTGTACTGTCTCTGGGCGGTAATGTAAACACAAGACGGATGTCACAGCCTGACATGGGATCCATCTTCCACATAAAATCAATGAAATATTCTGGTCATAGGAAACTATTATGTGAATTATCAAAATTATCAAAATAAATGCATGCTTTTATCCTCCTCCGATACTAAACGAATACTAATGCATCTATTCTTGTTTACAAATTCCGCTAAGAGAAGACTGATTACAATATGTACGCAGAGTATACGCAACTGCAATTAACTTTCCTTATATTATAACCTTGGGTTAAAGGGACTGTAAGCGTTATTTCAAGGGACCCCTCATGCAAAGAGGGCAATGTCCGATTTACAACGGTACCCTTCAAAGCTTTATCTGATCAAGTTTTAATTAGCAATGCATGTTTTTGTTTAGTTAAACTTTATTTTCATTTCGATGGAGGGTTTTTGAGATTGCACTTTTCAGTCCTCTAAAACGTTTTTTTAATAAAGCGTTTTATGTATTTTTTTCAGAAATTAAACTTCACTTGTTATATATTTTAGAAAAAAAATCGATAAAAATGTTTTACATGGCATAAAGAATATGGCGGGTAAAAAAAGAAAATAAATAAATGTGAGAAAAGAATAGCATGTACATTTATAAGGTCCCATACAATATACAATATTTATGATCTACAGTTCCATTGAGACAACATTTTTACCACCCCATACAACACATGAATATGGATAGATAGATAGATAGATACATACATATCTCGATAGATAGATACATATCTTCAAACATACATGTTGTATAGAGCCTTTACATACACACAAAATGGGACAACATAGCGGTGAAAAGATAGTTTCAGTGTTTACAACACCAAGTTTCATAGACAGGGGATTTTTACTACTCTATTCATTTTATAAAGGTATAAAGGATGAAAATTAGATAGATAGATAGCTATAGAAAAGTTGAATAAAATTATAGATTTATTAAAAGCATTAATGACATAATATTAATAAAATTTCTATCCATATGGACATGTTTTTAATGGTTAAAGGACAAAAAGAAGTTGAAAAAACAGTGAATTTAAAACAGGAAAAAGATGGAAAAAGGAAAAACAATGAAATGTTGTAGGTTTGCAGAATTCTGCCAAGGATTATAAACCTAAGAATGACAAACAGAAACGGAATGACAAACCAAGAATTTACGAGACAAAAAACGCCCAAAACAAAATGTATTTCTAACGAGGATGATTTAAATATGCAAGAAGAGGAAAGATGAGAAAAAAAAACTATTTTACAGGATCAGTCACAGGTACAGTAAGCATCCAAGGTCGACAATTTCCAATTGTAGATTCTCTAAAAAAAAGACAATTGCTTACAAGCAGAAACTCGTGATCCGATGAAGATTTCAATGGTACTGTTGTGCATCGGAGTGTAACTTGAAATTATGCTTACAGTCCCTTTAAACGAGGAGTTTTTAAGAGTAAAGAAGAGAAGAGGGGCCGATATTGCAATTACCTTCAAATCAAAGCCATGAAGCGCAAAATTTCCGATTCGCAACGGTACTATTTAATCCTGAAACGGATTCGCAACGGTACTATTTAATCCTGAAACGGATTCACAACGGTACTATTTAATCCTGAACCGGATTCGCAACGGTACTATTTAATCCTGAAACGGATTAAACATAAGATATCATTGTTTTTCTTGAAGAGATTCTTATTCTTTCGTTTTATCTTCACGTCAATTTTGTCGGGAACCAAATTTAAAAATATTTAATTTCTTATTTAAAACGGAGAACTCATTTTTGTCAAAACAAAGCTTTAAAGAATTGTGAATCGGACTGGAAGGGCACCGAAAATTTAAAGGAAAGAATACAGATATAGGAATACAGATATAGGAATACAGATATAGGAATAACAACAGAAACAGTGAAGAATTAGGAAAGAGAAAATAGAGAAAATTTAAATAAAGAAAATAATAAAAAAGTATAAATATAAAATGGTAAGAATTCAGCAGACAAGCAAAGGTAAACAGAATTGATGAATACATAAAGGAAAAACTAATTATGAAAAAAATAATGAAATCTTAAAAAGAAGCTTAAAGAGGAGAAATCAAATCAAAGAAAGATAATGTATTGATAAAAAGTTTAATTTTCAGTTGTAATGAAAAAATGTCTCCACATATATAATTAAAATGTGTTAAATATTACTCATCTTTACATTAACCCATCTCTTCTTGAACATTATCTAAATAGCAGGTGGTGTCACCCCCCACCCCTATAATTTATATATCAGGTTCCATCCTATAATTTCACTGCACCAAGATTATAAATTCCAAGCTGCTTAAATTCATACCTACCTTTACTACCTCTACTACCTCTACTAGCTCTTTTATTCAACATCTACTACCTCTTCTATTCAACATCTACTACCTCTTCTATTCAACATCTACTACCTCTACTACCTCTTCTATTCAATATCTACTACCTCTACTACCTCTACCTCCTCTTCTATTCTACATCTACTACCTCTTCCATTTTACCTCTACCATGTCTTCCATTTACTTCTAAGACATCTTGAAATTAACTATTTAATACAATTCAATTATCAGCAAGAAAATTAAGAATATCTTATTCCTCCTTGATCATAGAAAAGTTTTAAGGGTACCGGTGTTTGCCGGACATGCCAGTTTAAAAAAAGAGGGTTTATTCAATAAAAAAATGATAAACTTTATGCTACCTAGGTGAAAGTGAACACAAAAACTAAACAAGTGACAATATCAAATATCAAATGTCCAGCCTGCGGTTGAAAAAGTTTTAAATTGCCACTTTATTCCCATGTTTATTAGACTATAATATAATAAAATAAACCTGTAAACATCAAAAATACATTTAATTTATCTGATTTATAACATTTTATAGCATGCAACGAACACATATAAAAAAGCATGCTTATGAAAAGCTACATACCCTGTACCAAGTGGAAACCTAGATAATTAGTCATATATAGTGCACTGGTGATTAGTAGGCATAACAATGTGGGGTGATATAAACAAATGTAGTTGTTTTTTATAAGGTTGTCTTTAAATGTTCAATTTGTAATAATCAACATTACATTATTATAAAAAAAATCATGATTATTTGTATCTCAAATAAAATCTTATTTAATAGTAAATATTCATATTTAAATATTTTTTTATTTTAATAATATTATTT